AAAGATATCCCGGCTCTAAACGAGGAGCGTCGAGCCTCTCTTCCCCCCTCCCCTCCCTCTCAACCGCCACATTTCGCTCCGTTCGTTCCCCTAAAAGGGAAGTATTGCTTCAGAGAAGCGGGGCGGCGGAGGAGCACCGAAAAATGAGGAATTACTTAAAGAGAATGGAGAGGGAGGGCGTGCAGAGAGTGAAGATGTTTCTGGTGATCACCGCCGCGTACGGAATCTTTTGGGGACCACTGTTCTTCGTCACCCTGGTGGATCATCCTATCATCGGTAATCCAACCGGTTACGAGGTAAATTTATCCGTTGCTATACTATTTGCGCGAGCGGGTGTGTGTCGATTTGTTGAATGGAGAGAGCAAAGAGAGAAAAAAAACTTTCTTATTTATGTATTCTCATTTTATCGTCGGTCGGTAATTAAGATACGAAAGAGCTTACCTACAGGATCTCGTTAATTCAACACTGCGTGAATTAAGGCCACCTCGCCTTCTAATGTATATCGGATTATAAAGATTTTAAATTTTAAATCACCAGTTTGGTCCTCTTTACATTTTACGAGATCTCCAATTCCTTTATTCGTTCGCTCGATACTCTTCTTTTGATTTTTCTATCTCTCTCTCTCTCTCTCTCTTTCTCAAGACAATCAATTATTCAATGATCCGCAGCAAGTAATAAAATCTTCGAAGCGAAATTCTCGAAAGAGAATATATTTAAATAATATCGCAAACTTTTATTATTTTTATTAACAAATTTTTTTGTTTCATTCTTTTCACGAGATACGCGCCACTTCCTTTTAACCGATCGAACAGAAATTTCTCGAACGGTGCGACGTCGAATTCACGCGAACCGGATGCGCTTTACTTTCTGGCGCGCAATTCGAATTCGAACTCTCACCTCTCCCGTACGAAAGCGTTTTCCACGTTTCTTCTTTTTTCTTTTTTCACACCAAATATATAATTGCGAGAGAATAAATTAGAAAGATCATAGGAAACGCATTGGCGAGCATTTGTCACGAAAGAATTTTAATAAATTTGCAGGTGACTCTACATATCGCGTACATTCACGCATTCGTGAACCCGGTACTCTTTCTCAGCCTGCACCGTGGTCTGCGTCAAGGTCTTTCGGAATTCTTCTGCGGCTGCTGCGAGGTGATCGCCAGCTGGATCCTGGGTCCAAGCATCCCCGTCGAGAGTACGGTGCAACCGCCACGGTACCAAGAGCCGATCGAGGCGGTCCCTTCGCCCCCCGAACCCCCACTGGTTCAGCCTAACGCGTGTCCCGATTTGACGGACGTGGCCCTCCTCAAACCGCCCTTGCCGCCCACCGGCAAACACTTACTGGTACTTGCGAAACAAACGTTCATTCTCTCGAACTTTCCTTCAAATTATATTTTTATTTTTATCTCCGACTGCAAATTGCAAATTGAAAAATCGAAAGCGAAATATATGGAATGTTTTATTATTGGCTCGTGAGGAATGGCTTTTTAAGTTTAATCTAGCTGTTTAGGCTAATTTTATTATTTTATCAGTTGTCAGTCGAAATTGCATCCTTTCAGCATGAATGTCTGATATCTTGCTAGCTTTTAATTATTTAATCAGAAATAGTAATACAATACAGTAATTGTGAGTTAATTATGAATTGATAATTTGTTTGAACATAAGTTTGATGTTTTATCGACCATGCATAACGAAGAGAGCGTTATAGAAGGTAATTGTCAATGGTACCGAATGTAGGTAACGTAGGCAGAAATTATTAAGGAAATTATTTCTCTTGAAAAAAATCCTGTCTCTGTTCCCATTCGTTATCCTTTTCCATAAGAAGAAGAATTCCAAGCTTGATCGAATTATAATTGATCACGTATAATTGCATGATTCTTACAGTTCTATAGCATGCAAAGAAACTCGTAACTCTATGATGTTCGTGATTAATCAAGGTGTCTTTCTCTACACTTTCTGTTTAAGATTAACTAATCGTAATTAATCGCGGAATTAAAACCGTACAGGACGACTCCATGATCGTACCACCGGATCCATGGATTCTGGTGTCAAGATCGAAAAGCACGTCGAGCATTTACCAAGAAGATGTTAGTAGAAGATCGAGCATATTAATACCCCCACCCCTGAAATTAAGCGACTCGAAAGTGAACGTCAGCCCGACTAGCAGCGATTTGCCTAGCGAATGATCGCCTAGGAGAAAAAAAATGTTCTCGATAGAAAATATTCGTTCGACCAATTGAACCGTTCTAATAAATTAATTTTAATATACTCTTCCTTATCGATAAATGGTATATTTTAGTATCGTTTATTATTTTATGCGAGATAAGAAATTTATAACATTTATATCGAATCTTATATCTTGTTTTCCAAGATATTTATAATTTCTGACAAAGTTTGTCAAAAAACTTTGTCAAACAAAAAAAAAAAAAGAAAGAAAGAAAGAAAGAAAGCAAAGAAACTTGTGTCAAATGAAATAGTTGAGAGTTTGCTCGAACAACTTTCGAAGAGGAAAGAATCGCAGAACGTTCACTTCTCAGTCGGTAAGACAGAGATCTTTTCGGAGACAAAGATTCTCCTCCTCCGAAAAAGAGAAAGATAAAAGCGTTGCCAAAAAAAAAAAGAAAAAAAAAAAGGTTCTGCGAGGGACCGTCCAAAAGTCTTCAAAAATTGCCAAACCACGAAAAGAAAAAAAAAAAGGAATAAAAAATACGTAGAAATAATTTTTCGTCGATATTAAGCACATTTCCATGTAAAATTTCGCTTTCTAGATGACTACTCTATTTAGGTAACGCCAATTTGAAAAAAAAAATTATAAAAAAAAGAAAGAGAGAGAGAGAGAGAGATGGAACAAGAGAAAAGAAGGTAGCCATTATTAAAGTAGAAAATACAGGAAATAAAAAAAAAAAATCACCAACAAACGTATAGTTCCTTTAATTGTGAATCGAAAAAGGCATTAGCTGCACCAACTAGTGATTAATTAAGCGATTAATTTAGGGGATACGTTAGATAGTCTGCACCTTCGAATGAGCTTTCCACTCAACTGGGGACTCAAAATGAATCGAGTTTTTTGTCTCGATTATTATTACTATTATTATATATTATTTATTATTAATGTTATTATACGGACTTATTATACGGATATATACAGACGCGCAGATGCATGTACACGTATACAGGGTGTGCGAGAAATAAGTGCCACGGGCTTAAATTTTTTTTTTGACAAGTGAAAAGTGAAAGTAAAATTGTTGTAATACAATTTTTATTTGAGTTAATAATATATATAATATATGTAAGAACACGAATTTGTATGTATTATTGTTCGAAAATGTGTGCCAATAAAATTTAAAAATTAGCATTCTAAGATATTAACGATAATCACAAAAGTGATATATTTTACAAATTATGTAAATGTACGTGAGAAAAATTCAAGAAATTGATATTAATTAGAAAATGAACGAATCAACTAGATTAATAAATTTAACTTTTTTAACTCATAATTTTAACTTTTTTTTAAAAATACTAATTCTTACCATATTATCGATCATTTTTAAAGAATGATAAAATTACTATTTCAAATTAGATTTGATAAAAATTATATTTTTAAAAAAAAAGAAAAAAAACATAAATCCAATAACCATCTTGTATATGTGTATACGCAACTAAATATATGTATACATATACATATATATTTTCTATGTAAAACTTTAGGGATTTCCGGACGTGCGTTCTCTGATTTAATTTATTTGAAAAAAAAAAAAAAAAATACACGTTTTTAATAATGCTCGAATAATTTTTTAAATTGTGCTTGAAAACAACTATTTTTTTTTTTCCCCAGAACAAGTTTTAATTCTGTCGTAAAAAAAAAAAAATAATAAAATAAAATATATTTCACAGCGTTCGTAAGCGTTTATCGTAAGATTCAAGCAATTTCTATGGAGAGAAATAATTTAACAAGATAACAAAATGAGAATAAATGGAGAAATCAAGAATCGTATCGTATTTTTAAATTTTGCGTATTTGTATTTCATTTTATAGAAATATCATTATAATCAATTATATCGTATAATTAAATTTTATAGATAATTTTTTTTTCCATTTTTAAACATTGCTAATCATACTTTTCTATTTATAATAAATAGTTGAGAGAGATATACTATTTTTTTTTTCTTTAAAAATATTATTAATTTCAACAAATAACAAATATCATCATCCATTATTTTAAAATGATATTTCAAATATATTTTTCTCGAAAATCGATTTTTCTCTATGAAACACACACACACACACACACACACACACACACACACACACACACACACACAGACAGACAGAGAGAGAGAGAGAGAGAGAGCGAGAGAGAGAGAGAGAGAGAGCGAGAGAGAGAGAGAGAGAGAGCGAGAGAGAGAGAGAGAGAGAGCGAGAGAGAGAGAGAGAGAGAGCGAGAGAGAGAGAGAGAGAGAGCGAGAGAGAGAGAGAGAGAGAGCGAGAGAGAGAGAGAGAGAGAGCGAGAGAGAGAGAGAGAGAGAGCGAGAGAGAGAGAGAGAGAGAGCGAGAGAGAGAGAGAGAGAGAGCGAGAGAGAGAGAGAGAGAGAGCGAGAGAGAGAGAGAGAGAGAGCGAGAGAGAGAGAGAGAGAGAGCGAGAGAGAGAGAGAGAGAGAGCGAGAGAGAGAGAGAGAGAGAGCGAGAGAGAGAGAGAGAGAGAGCGAGAGAGAGAGAGAGAGAGAGCGAGAGAGAGAGAGAGAGAGAGCGAGAGAGAGAGAGAGAGAGAGCGAGAGAGAGAGAGAGAGAGAGCGAGAGAGAGAGAGAGAGAGAGAGAGAGAGAGTATAAATCACAAATAAATATATAATTCTACAATGACTCGATATCATCGATATTTTATTACTCGATATCAGCAATATTTTCATCCTTATTTCGATCCCCTAATACGTACTACACGAGCATTATTCAAGAAGCGATTCGAACAATTGAACGTCATCAATACTGAACGTTTCGCAAGCAAACGGATCGTAAGCAGAATTCATATAATTACCATGCCTCGCGGAGAATCCAAAGATTCATAGATCTGCGGATCCAAACTATAATAGCTAGAACGTTTACTAATATTAGTCGAGATCCCCAAATATATACAGTGTCTACAATGGAATATCGATGTTTTCTGCAAATTCATCGATTTCTATGCGAAGTGATTTTAATAAAAAAAAAAAAAAAAAATAACGGAAAATTGTTTGAAATTGAACGAATTTATTCAAGACAAATGGAGAAAAATAATTTTTCCATTATCGAAAAATAATGTGTATATATATATATATATTTCGTTGTAATACCTGAAATAATACGATTACAAAAATGTACGTATTTATTTAAAAATAAATATCAGTTTATAATTTCACGAAACGGATTATTCGTAATTTTTAAATTTGATTTGAATCGATTTTTCTTTCTATTTTTAACTTATTCACGAAGAAACGTGTGGCTTTTCTTCTGCATGTATTTATGCGCTTTAATAAACAAAGCTATAATACTATAATGTTATTTTTTCGATTATATACAACTGTAATTTGTGTTAAATCAAACCTGAATTAACTGAAATTACTTCGTATATCCAATTATTGTTTCAATCGTATTAATTGGATATTCAATTATCAGAACGATGATTATTTCCTTTCCAAAATTGGAATATTTAACTATTTATTACGAGACACGAGGAATTCGAAAGAAAAAAAAAAGAAAATTAAGTCCGGAAAATCCCTGAAACAATGTCAATTTCTCTCGAAAGACTTTTGTAAGGGAAGCGAACTTACGAAATTATGAAAATAAAATAAAATAAAACGATGAGTGTTCGCCAAACGATAGAGTTAAGGATATTAATTTAATTAGGTTTATTGATAAACGGTGCCTGGCAGATTAATAGATATTACACACAAAAAAGATCGTCCGAAAAAAATTGATTGCAATATTTGTATCGCATTGATTATACAACAAGCATTATTTGCGTTTATATAATAAATTATGGAATCGATGTTATATATGAGTGTGTAAATAAAGATAGATTATCTTTGACAACGGATATTTTTTTGATTATTTCCTTTCTTTTTTTTTTTTTTTTTTTTTAAAGTTCTATTATTTTTGCCGTACGTAGATTCACGAAATATATAAATAAGAAAAACGTGATTAAATCAAAATGGTAGGAAAATTTCTCAAAATGAGACTAAAGCACTTTTTCGAATCTCTGGATAGAAATGTTATCCTAGTTTTTATGAAAAAGATATCCTGATCTACAATTATCTACACCTCTCGAGACTTAAATAATGATAATATAGTATATGAATAAGCTAAATATAATTAATAATTTCGAAAATAATTCAATTTTAAATAATTATCCTAACATAACTTTATAAATGAAAATAATTTTTACAATTTTGTATATTCAAATTATAGCTCTTCTACTACTATGTAGCGTACGGTGTCAGGTTTGTCAACAGAACCGAGATAAGCGATTCTAGCAAACGACCTCTCTGTGCTATCCTGAGAGACTTCTTTCCAGCAATAAACAGTATATTACTCTCGTCTAACAACTTATGATACTAAGGATTCCCTTTGGAACGTTGAAATATGGACAATTGCATAATATTTATCCTCCGTGCACATAATATTTACTAAGTTATAGAATAAAAAGAAAACGATGCAATACCATAAAATGGTAATAAACGAAGATAAATGGAAAATAAACGAAATAAATGAATAATGTAAATAAAATGTGAAGAGAAAAAAAAGAAATTTGAAAAAAGAGTGTGTAAATGAAATGAGTGAAACGAATAAAGTAAATATAATTAATAACTTGAACGAAATAAACAAATTGAACAAATTGTATAGATAAAATAAAATAAAGAAATAAATATAAAGAATAAAAAATTATAAATTGAACAAAGTTTTATGCGTTTTAGTTGATAAAATTTAAAAAATTATATGCATATCTTTTAATATTTAATATTTTACTTTTTTATTATATTTCTTTATTAGAGAAATATTTCATAAAACTAATTTGTAAAAATAGAAATATTTCATTCAAGAAAAAAGTTCCATTATACAGACGAATCGATAAATCCATTAAAAAAAATCGTGTCAGCGGAGAAACTCATTAAACCATGCAAATTTTACCATTTTCATTTTGTCTTATTTTTATTCAAAATAAGATTAGTCCAGTTATTATAATCATTCAATGTATAAACGAGAAAAAGATAATTGTTAAAAAAAATCTAATTAAAAAATTCAGACAAATTGTAATCTTTGTAATCTAAGTAATTTTAAAAAATAATTAATATGTTAAATTACACAAAAAAAAAGCAATATACTCGTATTTTTAAAAATCCCTAATTAAATCTCAAGATAAAATATTGCAATATTGCACCAATATAATTGCAATATTTACAGAATTTTTTATATTTAACATGAAATAAAAATCATGTCATCGAAGTGTAATGTTAAAAAATGATTATTATTATAAAATAACTTACCTGCTCGAAGCCACCCAAAATTTCCGTAGTGTCCATTGCAGGATTTACGACAAGCGATTTGAGCTTCCGTCCAGTCAAGTTTGCGAGAAGATGAACGAGACTACTTTTCCCAGTTCCAGATCCT